GGAAAACACACCGACGCTTCATCAGAGGCTGCACTGAGGATGTTACCCAGCACGGTAACGAAACGTCTGTGGAACAACAAACCAGCTCGGCGAGCCAACCAACCTCAACACCCACAACCCGAGCTACAGATCTACTCCAAAACCTTGGGTCAGAAGATGCCTATTACACGAACGACACCAGGAAGATACTACACGCCCTGACACATTCGTCACGCTACCTTACATCCGGAACACATCTGAACTGACCGCAAGACTCCTACGACCACTGGGCATCAGAGTAGCACACAAACCCACATCAACCCTATGACAACTGCTCACCCGAACCAAAGACCCACTACCCACTATGGACAGGATCAATGTCATATACAAGATTCCCTGCAGAGACTGTGACAAGCACTACATCGGACAAACAGGAAGGAAATTAACAACAAGAGTACATGAACAGCAATTGGCTGCAAAAAGACATAACCAATACTCACTCATCTCTATCCACATGGATACGGAGAACCACCGATTCAACTGGGACAACACCCAAGATCCTGGGACAAGCAAAGCAAAGACAAGCACGGGAATTCCTAGAAGCCTGGTACTCCACTAAGAAAGCCATCAACAAACACATAGAGCTCGACCCCATACACACTCCACTGCGAAGGAAAACCAGAAGTGAGGTAATCCAGCTCAATGGACTCCAGAGTTCAAATAACAGGCGGGAAAACACAACAGCGCTTCATCGGAGGCTGCACTGATGATGAAATGTCTGCGGAAAAACAACGAACCAGCTCGGCGAGCCAACCAACCACAACCCGAGCTACAAATCCATTCTAAAACCTTTCCCTTCTCTCCATAAACCTATGCCCACTAGTTTTGGACTCCCTCATCTTGGGAGAAAAGACCTCAGCTACTCACTTTATCCATGCCCGTCATGATTTTATAAACTTCTATAAGGTCCACCCCTCTGCCTCCAACGTTCCAGGGAAAATAGCCCCAACCTATTCAGCCTCTCCCTGTAGCTCAAACCCTCCACCCCTGCCAACATCCTTGTAAACCTTTTCTGAAACCTTTCAAGTTTCACAACATCCTTTCTATAACAGGGAGACCAGAACTGTACGCAGTGTTCCAAAAGAGACCTAACCAATGTCCTATAAAGCCACAACATGACCTTCCAACTCCTTTACGAGAATGGATGCAGGGATGAGGATATGATTATAGTGATAGTTTGATGCAGTTGGGACAGATCTCCATAGATAGTAGGCTGAGAGGAGATCTGATTGAGGTTTCCAAAATCATGAGCAGGATGGAGAGGGGAGACACAGTAATGCTTTGTGAGAGAAACAAGACGAGTACATTGATTTAAAGTGATGGCAAAAGAAGCAAAGGTGATGTAAGGAAAAACTTTTTCACGCCGCAAGTAGTTCGGGCATGGAATGTACTGCTTGGTAGAGGCAGGTTCAACTGAGGTATTCAAGAGGGAATTCGTTGATTATTCTGATAAAAAAAAGTGCAAGGATATGAGGACAAAATAGGAGATTGGATTGGTGACAGAACTGGTACAAGCATGATGGGCTGAATGGCCTTCCTCTGCATCGTAACAACTCTGAGAGAAGAAATTTCTCCCCATTCTTCATTTAAATGTACGACCCCCTTACTCTAAGATTTCTGACCTTTGGTCCTAGACTTTGCCACATGGGTAAACAACCTCTCCACGTCTACAGTATTATAAAACAAACATCTGTGGATAGTGAAAATCTGATACAAAAAGCAGAAATTGCTGGATAAACTCAGCGTCTGCGGTGGAGAAAACGAAGTTAACGTTTGGAGTCCAGTGATCCTTCTCACCTACCCTGTCAAGTCCTTGAAGAATCCACACGATCTCAATGCAGGACTGAAATAAACTTTACGCTTTCTTCACGTAAAAGTGATTTAGTTCTGGGCTTGTCGTCGTACCTAACACACACACTGCGTTAAACTCCAACGGCTATCACTATCCTCCCGCCCTTTCCGCCGGCACGTGCCGCGGCTGATTCCTTGACGCGCGTGCACATCGACGCTCGCGCCGGCTGCCGGCTGGTGAGCATGCGCAGTGAAAGTGACTGCGCTCGCGTACCGGCTGCCGGCTGGTGAGCATGCGCAGTGAAAGTGACGGCGCTCGCGTACCGGCTGCCGGCTGGTGAGCCTGCGCAGTGAAAGTGACTGCGCTCGCGTACGGGCTGCCGGCTGGTGAGCATGCGTAGTGTAAGTCTCAGCACTCGGGTACCGGCTGTCTGATGGTGGGCGTGCGCAGTGTCGCCAACGGACTGAGGCGATCAGAGTCTTTCGTTTCGGGCGTCTTTCTCCCACACGATCCTCCCCCCTTGTCGGAAGGAGCAGGCACTTGTTGTTACTCTATTCGTAATGTCTCCTGCGCTGTGATACGAAGTCTGGATGACCTTTGATTTGGACACGGAGGGAAAAAAAATCTTCGTAACTCGCTGCGGCCTGGAATCGAGTCAGAGCCCTGGCCCGTCTTTCCGCGCAGTGAAGTCGCCGCAGGTCCGACAGGAGGTAAACATCGGGAAGGGGCAGGGTTGAGAAAATATCAATAAACGTGTAAGAAATAAAAGAGTTTAGGTCAAACTCCTCCGAGAAATGAGACCAGAATTAAAATGAAAATGCAGTTGACCTTCCATCTACATTTGTCTTCCCCATCCCCCGCCC